AAAAAAAAAAAAAAAAAACTAACCAGGCATTGTTGGCAGGCACCTGTAATCCCAGCTACTAGGAGCTACTAGGAAGCTGAGGCAAGAGGATTGCTTGAGCCCAAGAGTTTGAGGTTGCTATGACGCCATGGCACTCTACCCAGGGTGACAAAGTGAGACTCTGTCTCAAAGGAAAAAAAAAAAAAGAAAGAAAGAAAACAAAATGGAAACTAAGAAGTGGCAATGAGGGTGGGTATCATGGCTCATGCTTGCAATCCCAGTGCTTTGGGAGGCCAAGGTGGGAGGATGGCTGGAGGCCAGGAGTTTGTGGCTGCAGTGAGCTCCACCACCATACTCCAGGTCTGGGCAACAGAACAAGACCCTGTCTTTAAAAAAAAAAAAAAAAAGGAGTAGCAGCAGCCGGTCAGGCGTATAAGCAAGGCAAGATTCAAACAGACTAAAAATTAGGTGAGGAAAGATAGAAGAACTAAGGACCTAGAACACAGAATGAGAACAAAGCAAAGCTGTGCCAGGATTCTTAAACCTGTAGCAAAATTACATCCACCTGAACCAGTGACACACTATCCTAGTCAACCGAGTAGCTGGTGCAGATAATCCACACCTGACATACCTTCTGCAAACACCAACAATAAAATGGGAAAAAACAGGAAATGCATGAAAACAATAACCTAAGTACATATGGATTGACATACTACCTGTACTGAAAAAGCATGAATTAAATTGTATGTTTTTGAACAAATAGTCTTTAAAATGCTGACTAACTGAACTGTAAGTGAATGAAATCAGATTCTAGAGCTCTGGTAGTCGTCAATTAAAGTGGGTTTTTCTATAAAATGAATACAACTGGGTTTAATATAAGGGAAGTAAAAAAAAAGATCAGAGAAGAGAAAAAAATGAGCAAGAGTTGGGTTTTATGTGTGTATTTCTTTGTTTGAAGTGGGTAGCCCATTTCTTCCAAAACCACATTTTCCAGTCTTTTCTCCTTAGATACACTAGAGACAAAACCCGAGGGGAAAAAAATCCACATCAGGTTCTGCCAAAGGTATGCAATGGTATTATCTCTCCTGCTTTGCTCCATACTATTCACTACCAAGATCCATCATGTGGAAGTGCCTTAATATTCTTAGAGAATTCCTTTAGAACATTCCTATGCCACTGCTATTTTTCAACTTGTTACTAGAACTCTAACCTAATCTCTTCTCTTCTAAACTCCACAGTCACACAACCTAGTCTCCCCTTACCTTCTAAATTCCAAATGAACATAGTGCTGTGTCATTTATAACCCCTGGGCCTAGGATACACTGTTATTTTAGTATATTTAAATTAAACCCAGGCTTCTTTATGTTAAATCTATGCCAACATGCTGAAAATGTTTCTGTTACTCTCCTAGCTGAAAATGAAGAATACACACTCATCATCAGATCCTGTTGCCTTCTTGGTATACTGCCTCCTGCCTCCTGCCATTAACTCATTAAACAGAGAAAGGCAATAGTGCCACCCTCACCTTTCTGGAAGAAAGGAAAGCACATCAGAAATCAAGTCATAAAATAATGCACCGTCACAGGAGGTTTCTGAGCTTTTACTAAATACAGATTTACACATACAAAGTTCTTTCCCTACTGAAAGAGTATAACTAATAATGAAAAATTCAAGAGCTGTGAGCTTTCTAAAGTAAATTCCTTTTAACTAAAACCTAACGGGGTAAAGAAAAACCTTTCTGCCCTTACGTTTGTCTAACCATAACACCTTATGTAACCATCAAGCTCTGATTACATACAATGAAATGTTTAGCCAATTCATTCTTAGTAGAAACAATAACTTGTAAACCAATCTATTGTATTTCTGCTCTTAAGATGTATGTCCACCACTCCACACGTCACTTGGAAACTTCAATGTGATTACTGTCATAAGACTTCTTCCAAGATGAAGAAATCAATAGGTGGAAGGAAGGTGGCATGCCTCTTCGAGGACAAACCTCCACTCGAGGCACCTTTTCTGAAATGTTCCCTTGGCTGGTATAACGTGCTAAGTTTTCTTAGTTGCGACTTTGTTCCTTTCCCCCATTAACCGGTAGCGTGACCCGGTTCTCCTTCCCGCTGGAGCAAAGGAGAGACCCTTCTGGGTTTCTTTCAGACCCAGCGCTTCCAATAAGGGCTACTCATTCCCCATGTTCAAAGTTGAGCCTGGGTATCAGGAAGGGAAATGGCTATGGCGGTCTGCAAGTGGGGAACCTCTTAGGGTTTGAGCTCTGGGGCGAATCAACCCTTGGGAAGAGTAGAAAGCAAGCCTGAAGCAGAGGTCCCGTTTGCTGCTAGGGGACTCAGAAGGGACCAAATGCTCACGGCCAAGGGCTGCGAGTGCTACTGACAATCACGAGGTGGTGGGACCTACAGTCTCGGGGAGCAAAGGGGCAAGTGGATCCCGGGCGCTTTTCGGACACCTCCGAGGTGAAGCTGAGCGAAAATGCGCTCCGAAGTGACGGTTGCTCCCTGGCACCCCTGTGCCCCGCCGGGGGCGAGGGCCGAGGCTGCCGGACTCACCGTGCGGCTCGGGACGGGGCCCGGAGGGCGGCAGCGGCGGCTCCTGGTGCTGCAGCGGGGAGGTGGAGGCCGAGGCCGAGGCGGAGGCCGACGTGATGAGCAGCCTCTGGAAGCGGTTGGGCGGGCGGCAGGGCACCTCCAGGCCGGCCGCCAGCTTGGCCTTGTTGGCGCTGGTGAGCCTCTTGAGGTGCACCAGCAGCTGCGGCTGGTCGCGGCGGA